GAGGCCTTACACATACCAAGGCACACGTGCTGTGTGTGTTTATGGATCTCCACAGGCTAAACTCAAAACAGACAGCACATGTCTGATTCACTTGCCATTTAACCTACCCTGACACTCATTTCCTTTCCTGCCAACATGCTCCTGCTCCCCATTTTTCACCCTCTCATACTTGTACAGAAATTATTTCCAACTCAGCAGAACACTTTGCACTACCCTTTCAAAGCCACAGATACTTCCCTTTCTGATAGATACTTCTCTCATGTTCAAATCACTGGGATTGCTATCCCAGTCTTTATGGAGCCTGAATCCCATCTGACTGGGAGGTACCAGCTGCCAGCTCAATCTGCATTCTCCATATCCTATTTTCAGAATCATACAGGAGTTTGCCAAGCAGTGTCTGAGGAGAAACTTCCATGACCTGGCTTACTTACATATGTCCTCCAAAACAACAGAACCACTGCTGGTAGAGAAAAGCTTTTTTTTGGTGCACTTGCTTTTGCACTAAGGTCACAAATGAAGTAGGATTTACTCTTTGGAATACTGCAAGCAAAAGCCTCCTTCACTTTCACTATGCAAATATTATCCAAGTCCACTTAAAAATGCTTAGAGGTTTATACAAAACACAGAGGTAACATGTAGGAATGTTTTCTGTGGAGCCAGCAGTTCCAGCTCCTCCCATACCTCAAACATTAAAGAGTGTCTCAGTAGTGCTTCAGCTTTGAAACACCTGGGAACATCTGGCCAGCTGCTCCTCTACAGGCACCACTCCTTGGGACTTTTCTTTCCATCTCTCCCTCCCCTGCTCTCAGTCTTCAGACCTTCTGGTTCTCCTGCTGTGCTGGTGCCTTTTAGGAGGCAGGAAGAGATGACCAATTATGGCAAGAGAAGCAAATTCCTCTGGACGTATTGCTCACCTGGAATATTTGTATAACATTAAACCTGGCCAGAGCAGTTTATGAAGTTCCTTTTGGTATTTCACTGGGGATGTTGGATGTTGATCAGGTTACGGAGCTCTTCCACAGAAACGTTTCCTAGAAAATTCTTACACCCCTTGCTGAAATCCAGACCTATGCTGTAAGTGTTTCCTGTCTAGACTCTCCCCATTCCTTCTGCCCTTCCTAAAGCCTAATTTGTCTGCAAGACAACAGCTCCCCTTGTTCTACAAAAAGGACTGTCACACGTGCCCACTGGTGCTGTCACAACATCCCCTGCACCTCAGAACCTCCTCACAAGGAGAAGCAGGGTAAAGCTATGTGATCTGCAGCAAGATGAACCCTCCTGGGGGTCACTGGCCCTTACAGCCACCACAGCGTGCCCATGGGCAGGGGCTGAGCACACCGAGCCCACTCACTTCCTCCCCATCTCACCAGCTGTGAACGTCAGCACTGCTTTCTCAGCTGACTCCGTGGGAATCTTCTCTTTGGAGACTTCCCTGGCTTTACATCTGGCCACCAAGGGAACTGTGAAATGCACATTCTTACCTCTTTTTTTATTTTTAGCTTGTGAAATAATAATGATCAGGATATAGAGAAACTCTAAAGTCATGGTCCTGACTTCCTTTTTCCAAAAGCAAGGCGTTACAAGAGGCAACGTTGGCTACACTGAAATGTCCTTCCTTGCTTTCCTTTTCACATGGAAGAAATCACCACAAACCCACTCTTTAAATGATTGTCCCAGATTTACTGCAATATGGGTGAGGCAGTGCTGTATTTTCTGTGATCTGAACAAAAGAATTATCTTAACCAAACACCCTACCTCCCCAGAAATTTAAACCCAAGCATTTAGACACTTCAAGAATTGTGATCAAGCCTGGCCAGAACATCCTGGAGTGTGTATGACACCAAGTACCAAGAAAGAGATAGAGTAGCACAAAGCAGTCTCCGCCTGTGAATTTTTTTTAATTCATATAGCCAAATCTTGAATGTTTATATGGACACAAACAGGAGAGGGAAAGCCAGACACACAAATCCCTTAAGTCTACACACCACTATGTGATTATGGTCATTCAGGAACTTTCAGATAATAGTTTCTGGTAAGACTCCACTTCTGACTTACCATCCCCACGTGTGTCAAAAGCACTTACATTATAACCCAAGAGCTGGAGGTTTCTACCCTCACCTTCATGCTCATACTCAGGCAAGGGAGGTTCATTACATTTCATGGAAGGTTTGGCATTAATAGCTGGGACAGAGAGTTACAAAGGCAAAGAGGAACACTACCATCCACCATCAGCAACTGGCACCGGTGTTTCGTTCCTACAGGCAGGAACTAAAACCTTACTCCTCAAAACACCAAGCACCTCACTGGAAACACGACCACCTGACATCTCAGAGATGCATAATTCCAGACATCGCTCCTTGTCCTCCAGTCAGGCAGCTCCCAACGTGCTGCACCACCTCTCTAAGCTGACTTTCACCTCACACAGCTCACACACCCTCCAGCAACAACACAGCAAGTGAGAGGAAAATATTCCAGCACAGAATCCCTCAGGGAGAGGCACGCACCACAGAAGCACCGTCCTCAGCACGAAGCACCAGTATTAAGTTATATATTCCTCAGCGGGAAGACCTGACTATAAAACCATGCCTCAATGACAAACACAAAAGTTTTACACGGTGCACGTGTCCCTTCAGGAGAGGGAAACAATGACAGAGGAGACATTTTAGCCTGTTACATACAGCCTTGAATCAGCACCATAAGAGCCCATAAACAGAACCATTTCAATGCATAAACGGTCCCTAAGGACAGCAGGGGAACAGGTGCTTAAGAGGCACGCAGAACGGTGGCACCGAGTCCTGCTCTACATCCCTGGGGACACCAGCCGGGCGGCTCTGCCCAACAGCCGAGCTCCTGGATGGCCGAGGCCGGGCAGCCCTGCGCCTCTCGGGGCTGTGCCAGGGCTTTGCCTCCCGCTCCGGGAGGAGCCGGGGGAGCTCCCGGGAGCACACGGCGGGATGGAGGAGCAAAGAGCCGGCGGGACACCCACGAACTCGGGCAGGCGTGACGGGACCCGAGGCCACTGCCGGGATCAACTCCCCGTCTGGAGTCCCACGGTCCCGACACCGGAGCCCCGCTGTCCCGCCGGACCCTCCGCAGCATCCCTGAGCAGGAGCAGGAGCACGCTGGCCCTGGCACAGTGGTGCTGCCACCCCAGACCCTCCGCTGGCACCGGGGACCGCCGCGGGGCACCCGGGGCCAGCGGGCAGGACCCGCGCTCCGGCCAGGCTGAGGGGGGCTCTGCCCCACCGGGCCCCTTCGAGGGCAGGGGAGGGGGGACAAGGAGGGGCCCGACCCTCGGAGGGGATGGGGAAGGAGGAATGGCGCTGTCCGGGAAAGGGAACGGGGGACCGAGCGGGGTGCGGGCGACAGGCCCGGCCCGGCCCGGCCCGCCCCGCGCACTCACCCGCGGGCTGCCCGGGCGCGGCCGGCGGCGGCAGGAGGAAGATGAGGAAGAGGAGGAGGCGACAGAGGCAGCTCCAGGCCCGGGCCATGACACCCCCTGCCCACATCACCCCTCCCGTGGGGCGCTGGGTCCGGCCAGCGGCCCCGCGGCCTTATGGAGCCGGGCCGGGGCCTGCGCTGCACCGCCCCGGGGCGGAGCCGTGCGCCCGCCTGCCCGCCCCGGCACGGCCCGAGCCCGCCCCGCACAGCCCGGCACGGCCCACCCCGCACAGCCCGGCACGGCCCACCCCGCACAGCCCGGCACGGCCCGAGCCCGCCCGCACAGCCCGGCACGGCCCACCCCGCACAGCCCCGCACGGCCCGCCCCGCACAGCTCCGCACGGCCCGGCACGGCCCGAGCCCGCCCGCCCCGGGACCAGGCAGCGGCACTGCCCGGCAGGATCCGGACGGGGGCGGGAAGAGCCTCAGTCTTTCCAGTGCTTTTTTGGACTAAACCCTCGCAGGTACCACAAGCGCTGCGGTCCCGAAGGAAACGCCCGCAAAGGGAGCTGGTGTCAGCGCGGACTGCGGCCACCACGGCTCTGCTGGCCTTCCCTGCCCAAAGCTGCGCTGCACACTGCAGCAGAGCCCTGGAACATCCTGGGCTGGAAAGGGCCCACAGACATCAGGTCCGACTCCCGGCCCTGCACGAACACTCCGACAATCCCACCCTGTGCATCCTTGGGGGCGCATTCCAAATCCTCCTGGAGCTCTGGTAGCCTCGGGGCTGTGACCGCAGCCTGTTCAATGCCCCACCAACTCTCTAGGGAAAGAACCTTTTCATAATATGCTGGAAGCACATGAGAACACACCATGCCAGCGCCTGGCTGGGCAATACCACAGGTACAGGTGAGCACAACAAACTTCTCTGAATGAGAAAACATCACGGGCTTTGCCCTCCGCTACAAGCGCCAGGCATACTGCCCTGCTCCACCAATCCTCCGTGGACAACCTGCCAGGGCAACTTCGGAGCTCTGCATCATCCAGAAAAATCAGGAGCAAACACCTGACAAACCCATCATTGGGAGCAACTAACGGCAAAGTGGAGTCAATTTACTACGGAAAAGAGCACAAATGCACCCGAACCCGGTCTGCCTCCCTTTCCCACAGGCCAGGGTGCCACTGGTGGGAGCCGCGCAGCACAAGGGCCAGCTCGGACGGACGGAATCAGTCGCTGCTGCGGCCGCTGAGCCGCCGCGCTGCCCGTTACCGGCAACACAGAGCCCTGAGCGCCCTTCTCCGGTGCTGCGGGCTCCGCTCTGCGGGTGAGGCACCGGCCCCGTTCGAGCCGGCCGGGCCCCGCCCTCGCCTTCGCTCATTGGCCGCCAGCCCTCCCCAGCAGCCAATCATCTTCCCGGCCGGCTCTCACTCCCTCCGCCCCTCGCTGCCGCTTCCGCAGCTTTTTCCGCTTCGCTCTGCCCGGCTGCGAGCGCCGGGCGCCCATTGGCTGAGGTCGACGAGGCTGCGAGCGCCCATTGGCTGCGGGCGGCGGGGCGGGCCGGTGGCGGGCGCTCATTGGCTGCGGGCGGCGGGGCGGGCCGGCGGCGGGCGCTCATTGGCTGCGGTGCGCGGCCGAGGCCGAGCGGGGCGGCGGTGCCGCCATGGCGCCGCCCGTGGGGTACGCGCTGCTGTGCGGGCAGGCCGCGCTCCTGCTCGGGAACCTGCTGCTGCTGCACGGCCGCGGCCTCCCGGCCAACGACACCGAGCCGCGGGAGCTGCCGCCGGGGCCGCCCGCCGACGCCTGGGCTTACAGCGATCCGCGGGCGCCGCTCGTCCTGTGCACTTACCTGTGAGCGCCGCGCCGGGCCGGGGCGGGGGGCAGCGCGGGCTCCCGGCCGCCCTCACCCGTCGCTCCTTCCCGCAGCCCCGATGAGTTCGTGGAGTGCGAGGAGCCGGTGGATCACGGCGGGAACGCCACGGCACAGCAGGAGCTGGGCCACGGCTGCGTGAAGGTGAGGGCGGGGCGGGGGCGGCCCTGGTGCCGGCGCCCCCCGGGCCCCGCCGGGCGCTGAGCGCTGCCCCCGCCGCAGTTCGGCGGCCAGGCCCACGGCGAGGTGGATCACACGCGAGTGCAGTGCCGAGCGCTGGACGGCATCGAGTGCGCCGAGCCGCGGAGCTTCCTGCGGGGCAGCCGGCCCTGCGTCAAGTAGGAGAGCCCCTGTCCCCCGCAGCCACCGGACCGGGCCCCCCGGCAGCAGGGCTGGTCCGGCGGGGAGCGCTGCCGCTCCCTGACCCCGCCACATCTTCTCTCGCAGGTACACGGGACACTACTTCATCACCACTCTTCTCTACTCCTTCTTCCTGGGCTGCTTCGGAGTAGATCGGTTCTGCCTGGGCCACACCGGCACCGCCGTGGGGAAGCTGCTGACCCTGGGGGGCCTGGGCATCTGGTGGTTTGTGGATCTGATTCTGCTGATCACCGGGGGGCTGATGCCCAGTGATGGCAGCAACTGGTGCACCGTTTACTGAGGAGGGGCAGGGCTGGCCCCAGCTGCAGCCCCTGGCTGCCTCTGCTCACTCCGAGCACCAGCCCAGGCTCTGCCTCCCTCAACGTGGACTTACAGAACTCAGGCTGCACAGCAGTCAACTCTTGATAATGACTCTGTACCAGCCTTGGACACAAAGTTGTTCAGGATTTATTTTGCTTGTTTAAAATAATCTGGCTTCCCACTGCAAACAGTGACAAATTCAGAAATCAGAGCTTGCAAATATAGGGAGTCAAACAATAAAATCTGGAAGAAGCTGACTCTATGTACTTTGGGGATTAGTAGATCACAGCCACACAGGGTCATGGTTTAGCCCTGAGCCCCCCCAGCCAGCCCATTAATCCAGAGTCCTAAGCCCTGGTTACCTTGGGGTCAAGGGCCACCTGACATCTGGGAGCAGTCAGGGAGCTGGGAAAGAGCTGGAGCTGCCATGGGGTGGCTCCTGTCTGTGGCACCCCTCTGGCTCCAGCCCCAGCCCAGGGCACCTGCAGCACCCAAAGGGTGCAGAAACCTCACACCCGAAAGAGGAAGCCCCACCAGCTGCAGGTTAAAAACTTACCAAGCTGAATAAAATGGGGAAAGGAAGATGCAACAAGTCCCAGCCAGAGCCAGACACAAAATCTGTGTATGCAAATGTCCAGTCACGTTTGAGATAAAACAGCAAACACACACTCCTAGTTTGGCAGCTTCAGCTGTGGGGCCAGGGGCAGCTTTGTCATGAAAATGCCATTCCTCAGCAGAACAACAGGGCTGGAAAGTTCATGGAGGGGAAACAAATTCTGCAGCAACCCAGAAGGAAAAAAAAAACAAAAAACAATCCCATGTGAAAAGGCTCTTGTGTCTCCAGCCCCCACTGCCAGCTCACAGCAGGACCTTGGTCCAGCAGCTTTCATCCTCCCCAGGGAACTTGTGGGACCTTGATCCAGAAGGAGTTGTGATGTCCCTGCCCTCACCATGCACTGTTCCCTCCCTTGTGCAGGGCAGCAGCCACCGGTGCTCCTGGGCTCTCCCCAGCTGCTGCACTTTGTCCCCCCACCCGGGTTGGGGCAGCACTCAACCCCCCAGAAACCCTCACCCAAAACACACAGTGCAAAGTGACAGCTTGGGAAAGTAATCGGGATTTCCTTCTTTATTTAAAAACATGGGGCACAAAGGGCACTGCAGCACGTACAGGCGAGGGGTGGGAGGCAGGCAGCCCCACCCGGGAGTCACGGAGCACTGCCCGCCAGGGCCCCAGCCCTAAGGGCACTTGGAATCCCCAGCCAGACTTCCAAAAACATCTTGAAGCACGTGGGAACAGCAGACCCCTCTCTCCCACCGCTCTGCCCCCACAAGACAGCCCCAGCAAAGCCCCACAGCACACGATCCAGGAGGGAGCAGCTCCAGGGGGATGGTCCATCCACGCCTGAGCCAGGAGCAAACGCAGAGCTGAGGGGAAACCAGTTTGCTTTAAAACAACCACAAAGCTCCAGCAAGGTCTGGCTGCACCCACCCAGCCCTCTGGAACGGGAGGGAAATCCCTCCCTCCCAACACCACCCGTGCTGTGGACAGCTCGGGAGCCCAGCTGAGCTCCACGCGTGTTTGAACCTCACCTTCAGCCTCTGTGCTGTCCTGGGGATGCGGGAGGGTGGGAACGAGGAATGTTGCAATAGTGCCGGAGCCACTGGTAGTTTCTGCTCCTGGATAATTACCGTAATTGTGCAACAAGCCTCTGCTTTACCTTCCCAGGCGTAAGGAAACTGTGCAATTATCAAGCACCAGGAATACTCAGGAGTCTGCGGTTCCAAGGCTTTGCACAAAAGAACCATCATCCCCGTGCATCCCCTGCTCTCCAAAACTGAGATCACAACGCTGTGACTCTCTGATGGATGTGCTTACCAAACTACTAAAACATTCTTGAAACAGTGTTAGGAGCCAAACAGCAAGTCAGCCTAAAAAAATGAAAGTTTAAAACTCTAGTGCAAATAAAGCAAAAAGGAGCAGAAAAAGGACCAGCAGGATCTAGGTAGCTACAATTAAATAATATTAACACTCACCCTGTACCATTTGCATCGATTCCCACTCATTTTCATGGTCTCTGTGTCCTCCAGCACCTCCACACAATCCCCTTTGAGACCCTCTTCTCCCTGAACTCGGGGGAGCCCGTTCCTGCCTCCCCCAGGGGCACGGGGGTTCAGCACTATGCCCATCCTGCAGCAGCCCCACAGCTCCCACGGGGACTGAGGCAGGAGGGAACAGCTGGCATCGCACTGAGGTCAGGATAGACAAGGCTCAGGCTGAGGCACAGCTGTCAAACAGCTGGAGGCCCCAAAAGGGTGGGACAAACCACATGTTCTACTCCCGGGGAACACACTGGGCTGAGCTTGCAGAGCAGAGGATGTGTCACAGCCAGGGAAGTGAAAGGGGAGCTGAGTTCTCGCTTGGCATGTGGGCATTGCACACACTTGCGGGGTGAAGATATCGGACAATCTCTACCGAGGGAACACCTGGATTTTCTACACACTATTTATCACACCTACAGGAGCTCATTTGGTTATGGAAATGACGATTCACATTGCTCTAGAAACTCCTGCTGGTTTCCATCTTGGGCAGGCAGTGGGTGAGTTGGCCAGACAAGTCTGGCCAGCTCCATCAGGGCTGGTATTCACTGCTTTTTACTAAAAGCCCTTCACCATCTGGCACAGCTACCTGTGCCGAGGTGTGCGCAGTGCAAAACCAACATCACACCTGAGGCTGCTCCCACCTGGGAGCCACTGTCACTCCGGCTGCCTGCCCTGGCTCATGCTCAGGAAGTACCAAAAGCCTTTGGAGGGGTTGAGCACCTGCCCGGGCTAGGGTTCAACAGGAGCCACAAGTATAAAAAGACGTAATTAAAAGCCAGCAGATTGCTGATAAACCCTTGTGTGGGCAGTGGGAAGATCTTGTCTCTGAGGGAGTAAGTCACCATAAGGGGAAGCCGCAGCGAGTCCCCTGTGTGGGCAGCTGCAGGCTGGCAGCTCCCAGCTCTGCCCTGGGGAATCTGAGCAGCAGCAAAGGGGACAGAAACATTTTACAAACACAAGAAAGGCCACACTCCCCCTCATGCCTTCAAGACCTCCTGCCACTTCCTCCAGACCTGGTTTGTGGGGGAAATGATGCAACTGCAGAAGATGTCCCCTCATACAGGTCCCCAGCATCTCCTGCCCTGCACAGCGAGCGCCGGCAGTGCCCGGAAGCAACTTCCAAGACATGGAACCGCTGGGGCCAAGCCTGGGCAGGAGCAGCCAGGGACCCCGCGCCCTGCAGAGCAGAGCACCAGGGTGTGGGTGCAGACGGATCCTGCGTGGCAGGGAAGGGCTGTGGTGGAGGGAAGGGACCACCTGGCGTACCCCAAACCGCCCACAGGGATCCCGGGAGACGGCGTGTGGAGCCGGGAGCGGCTCGGTGGCTGCTCAAACGTCGGAGGTCCGGATACTTTCATCGTCCAGGTTGAAGGCGAACGGCTTCTCCTTGAGGTGCTGCGGCTCCGAGCGGTGCCGCAGGCGCGTGCCGGGCGCGGCCCTGCCCTGGCACTCCGAGAGCGCCGGCACCAACACCGAGTCCCTGAGCGGGGCTGGCAGCCCCCCCAGCGCCGGCCGCTGCCCCTCGGCCTGCGGCACCGGCGTCCAGGGCTGCCAGGAGCTCGTGGAGGGCGCCTTGCACGAGGCTCGCCGCTCCTCCGCCGACGGCCGCGGCTGCGAGGGGCCCGAGGAGCCCCCGGGCCTGGCCACAGAGGTGGATCTCATAAAGGACATCTCCTGCAGGGACAGGGCAGAGCGACACTGGTTAGACAATCAACGAAATAAATATCTTGCACGTGGGCATAATCTCCATTCGACACTAAATATGAAACAGAAGGTAGTGACCTACCCTGGGGCGGGTTTTCAGGGCCTGCACTGCCCCTGTGATCGCCCGGATCCAGCTGTGCATCTCCTCGGGGCTGTCTGCCTGCAAACACAGCAGCCCCAGTGAGGCTCAGCCGTCCTGGCATTCCCAAGGTTCAGCTCTGCCTTCTCCTGCTCCCACAAACAGCCCCTATTATAAATAATCCCAAGTGAGAAGTGAATCCCCCTGCAGTTTCCCCTCACACTCGTATGTTACAGCCCCATCTGCTCATGTTCACTGGCGAAGGGCTGTGGGGAACAGCCCATTTCTCGAGAGCTGAACTTTCTGCCCCAAAAATTATCCTGGCCTCAGCTGCTCACCTGGATGTAGAAGGTCCTGGAGCTCGTTATGATTTCAAAGAGGTTGTCTCGCATCAGGAGGTCACTAGAAACAGTGAGAAAGAGACAGTCACACCCGAGCAGCCATGGTGGACAGAAGAAACCCTCTATTTATCTTCATTTCTGGAGTGGGCCAGGGAGGAACATATTGAAGGCAAACCTTGGATCTCATTGGGATTTTCAGAAGAGTCCAGATCCCCAGAGAGCTCCAGCCAGAAACCCCTCAGCTCTACCATCAGCCAACAAACCCCTGCCCTCCCCCACCATAATCCACTGCATTCCCAGCAATATCATATTGCTATTACTTATTAGGAATGAACAGCTCAGAGATACATTAATACACCACATTTTTACTTTAGCTGAAGAGGCTTGTCTTCTTAGGTTATTTTTCGTTGCAAGCCTTTACATTACTTTGATTTTATCAGTGTTTGCTGCAATAACCTGTTCCCAAGACACTGCAACCGCCTGGGCTAGTTTAAGACAAACACCTCAAGACAGAGCTGCTTCCCACGAGCAGCTGGAGCAGCCTAAGCTCCCACTGGCTGCTCTGGCCTGAGCCAGCCTGGGGTCACGGCAGGAAACATGGGTGGGAGCATTACCCAGACTTGACCAGGCACTCATGGGTCTTGCAAACATCTTTCAAGAGAATCGAACGCAAAGGCTCCTTGTCCTGCAGAGGCAAGAGGAGACAGTGGAGGGCTTGGCTGGCCCTGGGGCTGGCATGTGCCTCCCCCAGAGGGTGCCAGAGCCCTGCTCAGCATCCCAGGGGAGCTGCTTACCTGCTCACACTTGTAGTAGCTGATGGAAAACTCATCCAGAACAAAGTACCGCCGCTTCCAGCTCTTCCTCTGGAAAAGAGCAGGAGATTCAGCGCTCAGCCCTGCCTCTCTCTGCCGAGGTCCTGCACCCAGAGCAGCCCTGCAGCAGCCCCAGCCCGTGCCCAGCACTCACCACGTTGCCCTGCTTGACGCAGAAGCCGCTCTTGAGCGGGGCTGGCCCGGCAGGTGGCTTGGTGGCC